CGCCGTCGCCCATGACGTCATTGGCTTTGATGATGAAGTCATCTTCCAGCATGTTCTCTGGGTTGTCAAAATCAAAGTCCTCATCCAGCGCAGCGACAATGTCAGGATCCATATCCAACCGCGGCCCTGGAAAGCAAGACACAAAACTACATTTGCATTTGGCAGTTTCTTCAACTACAGGAATTTTCATCCTTTTTTTATGAAAATATATTTCTTTTGGTAATATCAAGGTTGCATTACCATTCATGTTTGGTTTTGCCACTTATCAATATATGTTAAAATGTAATTTATTGCTGTGATCAAAGCTGCATTTTCAGCAGCATTACTCCAGTCTTCAGCGTCACATGATCCTTCAGAAATCATCATTATTAATGTTGATAACAGCTGTACTGCTTCATATTTTTGTGGAAATCTTTGATGAATAGAAAGTTAAAAAATACATTTTAAATGCCTTTCTGGACACTTTTAATTATTTATTACTTACTGACCCAAACTTTTGAATGGTATTGTATTAAAACAATAATAATCTTAATAATAATAAAACAGAGTAGTCGTCCATCATAACCCATCCCTATCTGAGACCTTATTTTGGATTTCTTCATGAATCGATCGACTAATGAATCAAGACAGCCAATGAGGTATGATCTGAAATAAAGTAAATGTTTGTTCTGCAGGTTTGTGAACGCAGACACATGAGCAGGACTGATTCTGATCTCACCTGAAACAGGAGCTGCTTTGTTTAATAAACCCACTTCCTCTTCAAACTCAGACGCGAACACAGACGAGGGCAGTTTGATGGAGGCCGTCTGCATGCATGACAAACATCAACATAAAACATCAGCATGTCATCAAAACACAAGCGGAACGATGCTCATATTCTGCAACCGGACCATAACGCTGTTTGTTGTCACCCTCACTCTAGCTGCACGCATATTTTAGTAAAAATAACCGCAAAGCTATCTAATAACACATTTAAAATTGTTCTTGTCATGGAAAATGGACCAAAACAATGACGAAATCAGAGACGTGTACACATTTTTGTTCCCTAATAACACCTACTTTTGATTTGAAAGAGCAAGTAACAAAACCTGATTCACAGCTGTGATGTAAACTAAAAGCTGATGGCTATTAATAAGAACTTCCTCAATTTCATGCTTGCATTTGAAATGTCAACACAAAAGATTTAAGCCCTGTGCTAAAATCCTTTACCTAATTTGGTGTTTCC